ACCCCCAGCGCCTCACCAAGCACACCAAGTTCGTGCGGGACATGATCCGAGAGGTGTGTGGCTTTGCCCCCTACGAGCGGCGAGCCATGGAGTTGCTCAAAGTCTCCAAGGACAAGCGCGCGCTCAAGTTCATCAAGAAAAGGGTAGGTGGATGGGGCGCCTGGGGGGCTCAGTCGGTTAAGCGGGGGCTTCGGGTCGTGATCTCGCGGTTAGGGGTGCAAGCTCCGCGACACCTCTGGCTCTGCGCTGACAGCTGGGAGTCTGTGTCAGATTGGAGGGATCTCGCTCGCTCTCTTCCTCTCGAGCCCCTCTCTGCCCCTCCCCTGCTTGCGTGCTTCCAAGAATAAACGTGGAAAAAGGTGGTTGGGGTGCCTGGGTGGCTCATTCAGTTAAGGGTTGACTCTTGGTTTTGACTCAGGCCGTGATGTCCAGGCTCCACAGGTTCGAGCCCCACATGGAGCTCTGCACCGGGAGCAGGGAACCTGCCTGGGATTCTCTTCCCTCTCCCACTCGCACTGTCCTGTCTCAAAATAAGTAAATGTCACGGTCGCCTCGGTGACTCAGTCTGTTAAAACCTCCAGCTTTGGCTCAGGTCATGACCTCCCCACGTGCTGACAGCTCGCAGCAGCCTGGTTGGGATCGTGTCTGCCTCTCTGCCCCTTACCTGCTTACGCTGTGTCTAAATATTTAAAATGTTTCAAATCTGAGAACCCAGTTTTCCCCTAATGATAGCTTTGAAAAAAAGGTGGGGGGGGTGGGGATAGGTGGACTGTCGGCAGGGCCGGGGCTTGGGGCCCAGACCGACCGCTCCGTCCCTTTTCTCGGCAGGTGGGGACACACATCCGCGCCAAGAGGAAGAGAGAGGAGCTGAGCAACGTCCTGGCGGCCATGCGGAAAGCAGCAGCCAAGAAGGACTGAGCCCCTCCCCTCTGTACGTAATAAAGCCTTTTTGGAACTTGGGGGTCTTGTGTTGGTCTGGGGGAAGGGGTGCGGTGGTGACGTGGCACACAGACACAAGCAGCCGGCCGGTACCGGAAAGGGTTTTAATCATAATTAAATAGTCCATATATGCCAGACTCCGTGATTAAGCCATAATTGAGGTCCTTGGTTCCAGCCGCTCCCGAGCCTCCTGGGGGCTCAGCTGCCCAGAGTCCCCAGCCCTGGCACATTTTCGGCCTGGACGGGGCCCGTGAGTGCCAGCAGCGCCCGGGCTGCGGTCACCGCTCCACCGCCATGGCCTCCGCCTGCTCCTCGGGGAAGGCGATGTTGAAGATCTCCCGGTAGTGTTCCACGAAGTGGACCTCCAGGCCCTCGGTGATGAAGGCGGCCAGGTCATAGAAGTCCTTCTTGTTCTCGGCTGGCAGGACGATGCAGGTCACTCCAGCTCGCTTTGCCTGGGAAGGAGGGGACCGCCGGCCAGGAGGTCAGGGCAGGCAGTGGGACGGGGCTCGGCCCAGACGGCCAGGCTGCACTGCATGAGCTAGCTCACAGATCAGGAAACTAAAGCCCAAACCCCATCACTGGTCTCCGTACCAGGAACCTGCTCTCCCAGAGCCCCACTCTTCTGGATTAATCCAGTCACCATTGCTTTACCTTTAGCGGTTTGGCACAGGAGCCTTACAGAAACATGCATTTAAGCGCTTCTAGGCTTAAATGGTGTACATCCCGGCCTGCTCCCTTGTCCTTTCCTGGGCCCTGGCTCACTGGGAGGGCCCCTCAGCCTGATGAGGCCCTTGGAGGACAATGGTTCCCATCTGTCCCCAGGCTCCATCCAGGAATACGGCGTACCTTCCACTCACAAGTGAGGAAAGGCCTGGAGAGCCTCCGCAAAGCCCCCTGCCTGAGATGGCCGTCCGTCCCCATCTGTGGACACCCTGCCTTCTAGGCAGGTGGGGGGTAGGGTCAAGGTGGGGAAGGGAGCGGTCCCTGCAGAGAAGTGGGAGTCCCAACACAAGAAGCCCCGGACCGAGGGTCTGGTCGGAGCAGACCCCTCCACCCCCCAGAGGCCCGTGTACCCTGCCTTCTGTGCCTCTGGGCGCTTAGGCTGGAGGGTAGCAGATCCTACCTGCAATGCAACGGGGGAGGGGGGGACGCTCACCGCGATGGTCTTCTCCTTGATGCCGCCCACCGGCAGGATCTTGCCCCTGAGGGAGACCTCGCCCGTCATGGCCAGGTTTGGTCTAACTGGCCGGTCCGTCGCGAGGGAGAGCAGCGCCGTGACGATGGTGCAGCCGGCACTCGGGCCGTCCTTGGGGGTGGCGCCCTGGTGGGGAGATGCGGGCAGGGGGTCGGCAGGCGGGACAAGGCGGGGGCACAGGCGGCGGGGCCGCCCCCGGAGGCAGGAGGTGGAGCCTCACCTCGGGCACGTGCAGGTGGATGTGGGAGGTCACCAGGTAGTCGTTGGCCGGGTCGTGCTGCATCAGGAAGGCCCTGGCGAAGGTGTAGGCGATGCGAGCACTCTCCTTCATCACGTCCCCCAGCTGGCCTGTCACCTCCAGGCTCCCGTCCTTGTCCCCCTTGCCGTCCTTGTCTCGTGGCCGCCGAGGGGAGGTCTCCACAAACAGCGTAGAGCCTCCTGAGAGACCAGCACGCAGAGCCTGTGAACTCTGGGACCCTCGGGTTCTAGGGACCGTGGCTCCCCCGACCCTACCGCTGGGGCCACCTAGCGGATGCCCCTTCGTTAACACCGCCCCTTCCCTAGCTCGCCCGGGCCCGGGCCTAGGGCCTGCTCAAGGCCTGCTCATCCCATGCAGCACCTGCACCGGCCCCACGGCCTAAGGGCCGACAGACGCCCGCCCTCTTGCCCGCTTGGCTGGTGCGGCCGCTTAACTGAGGTCCAAACAAGCAGACTGATTCACGGTTCAGAGCCTGCCTCTCGCACACCCCAGCCTCCCTGTTGGGCCAGGCAAGGTCACCGGGACCCCATCTCCGGGGCTCCCCAAGCAAGGGGAGAGGGCCTCCCGTCAATGTGAATAAAGCTTGTGCGAGGATATTGCCACCTGGCGGCCGCATCTTTTTCCTCCTCGATCAGCCCCTGACCCCTTGGGACTCCCTTCAATGCCAGTGTATCTTGGGGGGACGCCAGCTGACCGCGCAGGAACCGGTGTGAGACGTTCTCCAGGACCCCCCCACCCCACCCCACCGTCCCGGGCTGCTCACCCATGGCAGTCCAGGCCAGCCCCATGACCACGCCGGGGGGCGTCACGTCATACATGCGCTCCACGGTGAACACGGGCTTCCCCACAAAGTCCTGCAGGTTCTCGGGCGTCACCTCCACGAGCTCGGCCTCGCCACTCACAATCTTGTAGGCAGACTTCCGTAACACCTGGTGGGGGGGGGGAAGGCAGCAGGGTTGGTGCGGCCCCCACCCCGCTGGTCTTTAATCTTTAACATCATGGTAAAGTACAGAAAATGAACATTTCAGCCATTTTTAAGTTTACAGCTCTGGCATAAGGGCATTCACGCGGTCGTGCAACCGTCCCCAAACTTTCCATTTCCCCAAACGGAGACTGTCCCCATGAAACGGTGACTCCCCTCCCCCTGCCTCACCCCACCCTTGGAGCCCACTATCTACTGTCTCTGTGGACGGGACTCCTCTAGGCACCCCGGTGAGTGGGGTCACGCAGGACGTGTCTCAGGGTTGGCATCCGGTCCTCACGATTCTCCACCTGCCTGGCCAGGCCGCAGAGCCCGCCCCTCCGCAACCCCTGCCGGCCCGCCCGGCTCACCTTCTCCACCTGCTTCTGCAAGTTGCGCACGCCGCTCTCCCGGCAATACTGCTTGATGAGGAGGGTCAGCACCTCTGGGGACAGCTTGGCCTTGCTCTCATCCAGGCCACACAGGGCGCGGGCCTGAGGCACCAGGTAGCGCTGGCAGGGAGGGGGACGCTGTCGTTAAGACCCCCAGGGCCTCTCCTGCGGGCCCCCGCTTACCCCTGAGCCTTCCCAAGACCCCAGGCTGCCTAAAGATCACAGAGGTGGGCCCAGCGCCTGCCCGCACGGAGCTCTCGGCCCCCAGTGGGTGGCTGGGGGACAGCTGCCCTGGGAGGCGACCTCAAAGCTGAGACCTGAGGGTAAGGAGCCAGCGAGGCTAGGACGGAGGGAGGCGGGAAGTCTGGATGGAGAGCACGGCAGGCGCCAGGACCCCACACGTGAGCCCGCAGCTGCCCAGCCCGCCGCCTCCGGAAGCTCCCGGGTCTCTGCCCAGATCCCAGCCCTGCCCTTCCTCCAGATGTCATCTGAGATGCCACTTCCCCAGGAAGGTTTCCCTGATCCCTGGGCTCAGCCCACTTACACACTGAGGACCTGTGAGTCAGGGCAAGCGGCCGCCACCCCGAGCACAGACAGAAGTGGGGAGGTCGAGGGGCTC